TTAAATTAAGACTGCTTATACCTTATAAACGATAAAGAAGTGCAAATATTTCATTCTGTATCTACACACATTTTTTCAATAAATATTTTAAGTAAGATTTGTACATCTTAGTCAATTTATTTAATATCTTTCTTTAGCAAAACATATATATTTTCAAATTTATAAATTGATTTAAATCAATATGCGTATGAAGTCTTGATAGAAATCTGACTTTCTGTGCCTTAAAGTAAATGAAATTCAAAAATACTATATCGCGATACATCGCTATATCGTGATGCAAAACTGACGATATATCACGATATATAATTTCTAATATCGCCCAGTCCTACCCCCAACATTTTAGACAAAGAAAATATTTGTGAATCATCATTCATGGGTTTCAATTCATCAATGTTAAAAACGAGAAGGAGAAAAATAATCTTTTTGCAAATATTTAGCAGGCATAAGAATTTTTTTTCTTGTGTGTCAAAATGAAAATGCTGTTGTGACTGTATGTTAATTTCGTCCCCCTCAAAATTTGATTCCTCAACGCTCGCATTCAGAAACTTTTTGTCCTGATAATTGAATAATCGATGCAATTTATGCATTCGAGATTTGCCTATTTCAAAATAAATTTTATTAAATAGGGAAACTAAACTTATTCGAAGGACACTTGAAGTAAATATGATCACTGATTGGAATGAAGTGATTCAGATCATTGATCATGCGATTCAAATCCGTGATTCATGTAACTATTCGAATATAGTGATTTTAATTACTGATACGAATCAAGTGATTCAGATCACTGATTCAAATCATATGATTCGGATCAGTAATTAGAATGAATTGACTGAAATCATTTTTGAAACCACCACAATTTATCATTTAGATCAGTTTTCAAATCAATGATTCGTATCGAGTGATTCGGTTCAATTATTAGAATAGAGTGACTGAAATTACTTTTCAAATTAAGTCATTCAGATCAGTTGTTCGAATCAAGTGATCCGGATCACTGATTCAAATCACTATTTGAATCAAGTAATTCAGATTAGTCATTCAAATCAAGCAATTCAGACCACTTACTCAAATCATGTGGTTCGGACCAGTGATTAATCGAGAACGGTTGATGTATCAAAATCTACTTTTCTATATCTAAATCGTAATAGCTCGACACTTGTTTTCAGGATAGGTAAGGAATGTCTTCAGAGCATTATCAAGCATAATATCCGGACCATGGTCCAAAGTTGATATAGTGTGACGTTAGCAATCAAATTATTTTTAACATCAAATGAAATTAATAAAATAAGATATTCTTAGAATTAAAAGTAATAAAAATATACAATGAAAATTTAGACACATTTTCAGAGGGGGGAAAGCTAAATTTATTGCTGTAAAAATTTTCAATATTTTTACATGCATTTTTAAAAAAACATAGACTTCACTTTAATTCTCACAGAAATGATAATAATCATGGACCTTTAATAATTATATCTGCATAAGTAAAGAAAAATAAATTCTAGATTTTTCATGGTGGAAAAGTAATTTCTTAATGTTTACTTTTAATTGCAATTTTAAACATTATATTTACTCAGCATCTTTAACATTAGGACAGGATGAATGAATATGCTTATTCAAACTAAATAATCGAACTTAGTCTTAGTTTCGTTACCACTATTTTCTATAGGGACGCAGACATGATGTTTAGGATGACAGACATGTTATCTATCGAGGCGGTTGTAGACTCTTATAATATTTAAAGTGCCACTCCCGGACCAAAAATGTTTAGAAACACAGGCGTAACTTTGTTTGTGTTTGCTCTTCACAAAATATTTTATTTTCTCTGGAATAGTGAATTTAATAATAGTATTATTTATTGCATTCTAATCTAATATTATAAAATTATACTATTATTATTCTAAATAAATAATAATAGAATTTAAAAAGAATTATAATAGTAGTAAATAAATGATGAATTAATTCCTTTTTATCTGCAGGATTTAAGTTAGACACATTTTCTTTAAAAGAAAATGAACAAAAAATCAAATCTGGAATTTAAACGTAATAATAAATAACTATTACTCTACAAAAAAGAAGAAAAATCTTGCAATTAAAATTTCGATCAATTTTTGACTTGTTTAAGTGCACAAATTTTTAACTGGTTTTCTGTACAGG